AATCTTTAACTTTGAAAGTCCAAGAGCCACACCACGCGCTGACCTGCCAAGACAGACACACACACGCGCACACAAACACACATAATTAAAACCATATATTTTTCTAATAACACACTCCTTTTCTTACAACATAACCCTCAAGTGTCCACCCTCAACACACATCAAATGCAGCTTAGCCAGAGGTAATACAGCAACTACCCTGGAGGTCAGACACCCCCCTCTCCACACACACACAGGCACTGCTCTCTCTATCCCTCGCTCTGACACACGCAACTAATGAACACACTTCAGATACATAGATAGGGCCTGTATAATGTAAATTGATCAATATTGAAATATTCACACAGGCATGTTTAGTCTGATGGTATTTTTTTCAAACTACATCACAGAGTTTCTTACCTTGCTGGAGGGGATGGGGTGATAATCTCAGTGGGATTTCTGGCATCTCTTGTTTCTAGTAATCCTCTGCAAATCAGGTTGGTATTCAGTTGTAGCCACTCGGAGCAGTTCCTTTACGTGAGTGTCAGTCAGAACGGACCGATGCTTGGACTTCACGTGTTTCAAGGTAGAAAACAGGGATTCGCAGACATATGTTGAGGAGAACATCGACAGCAGTTTGAGGGCGGCTCTTTTTACACACGGGTATTTTTCAGTTGGCACAACTCTCCAAAACGCAACAGGGCCTTCTTTCAAAAGAGATTTCAGTCTGTCATCCTCGCGTAGCTCAATCATCTCCAGTTCAGTCGCTGCCTCATCAGTGACAAGCGGGGATTTGAGGCAGTCTGCCTCTGCATTAAAAGGGTCGATGAGAAGAGCGATCTGTGGTCTTTTCTGCTGCAGGTCCTCAAAACGCGAAGTAATGCTCCCGTGCAGTTGCGCAAGCATTTTCACGTACTGACCCATATTCATTTTAATGCCAGCCTTCTGCTGGGCGCTGCGCAATGAAGGAAAATGGGACAGATTGCCATTTTGAATGTGCACTTTGAACAGCTTCACCTTGTTAACAAAGGAGAATACACTTTGTGTCAGATCAGGAAGAGTTTTTAATTTCCCCTGCAGGTCCAGGTTTAATTTGTCCAAGTGTGAAAGCATGTCCACTAAGAAAGCCAAATCCATAAGCCATTTGGGGTCTGAGAGCTGAGGGTAACTTTTGTTCTTTTCTGCAATTTTACAATTTTACTGGTTCCAAAAGCTCCAAAAAGCGTGAAACCACTTTACCTCTTGAGAGCCATCTTACAGCGCAGTGCAGTGGCAAGTCACCTGGCAAGTCTCCGTCTAGGTCAGCAATGAGATTTTTGAACTGTCGGTGAGTAAGGGCATGCGTGCGGATGTAGTTCACAATCTCCATCATAGGTTTCATGACGTGGTCTAAATTCAGTGTTTTAGACACGAGTTGCTCCCGGTGGATGATGCAGTGAAAATTCCAAAAATCGGGGAAGAGGTCATCACCCTTACAAAGGCCCACAAGGCCGTTCACAGAACCAATCATCGATGGCGCTCCATCCGTGACTATTGCGGTGAGTTTTTCTAAAGACATATTCGCTGTTTTGAATACTTCCATCATTGCTTCTTTTACGTCAGTGCCGCGAGTTCTGTCTTTTAATGGGACAATATCAAGAAGCTCTTCTTTCACCACGCAGTCCTCAGAAATCATTCGTACAAATATTGCCAACTGTGGCTTGTCCTGTATGTCGCATGACTCGTCTAATGCTACACTAAAATAAGCACATGCGTTCAGGTCTGCATGTAGATCAGATTCAAGCGCATTATTTATGTCTGATATTCTGGTTTCAACTGTGTGTCGTGACATCTGGAGATCAGTGATGGAATCTTTGAGTTGTTTGTTATCTGGAGCCAAAATGTCAATTAAATCTACAAAACACTGTTTTAAAAACTCGCCTTCGTTGTATGGTTTTTTAGCACGGGCAATATTCCATGCCACTTTATAGGATGCAAGTTTCACAGTTTCTCCACGCTTGGTCAATTGCTGGAACATTTGAGACTGTCTTTTTACCTGGCTTTTCAATGTGCTCAATTTTTGCTTCCGTAGTTCAGTACCTTTGGGGAAATCCTTGTCAATATTAGCATGGAGTGTGCTGAAATGACGCTGAAGGTTTGAAGCCTTGTAATGTGATATCGTGGTATCGCATAATAAACAGAGCGATTTGCCATTCCGTTCAATAAAAAAGTAAGCATCTTCCCATTCTTCCAGAAATGTCCTGTGTTCATCGTCATATTTTCGTTTAGCTTTGCATTTTGCCATTTTTACAAAGAAAATGAAAAATGTTTACCGGTACCTAATTTCCCGGCATGAGACGTAATCCGCGCATATGATTGGCGGTCACTTACGTCTCTTACGTCTTACGTCTCATAAAAAACACCCAATCTGTCAAATTAATTTATTAATTTTAAAATATTATTATTTGTTTTTAATAACCCCTGATGGATTTTAGTGTGTTTCAGATATAAAAAAAAGAAGAAAAGAAACATGAAACGAGGAAAGAGCCACAGTATATAGAAAATATGGTAACAGGCAAAGAGCCGCATTCTTATTGGTCGAGAGCCGCATGCGGCTCGAGAGCCGCGTGTTCGCCACCCCTGGTCTAGTCAGTCAACTGACCCCTTGAGAATCAACTGACTGTAACTGAACTTTTGAGCCCTGCCATCCCTAGAGATGTGGATATTAGTTTCTTATTGAATGTGTACAACAAACCAGCATAAGCCTGACTATCATTTATACATATAAACACAACATTTCTACTGGCACACACAATGCAGCTTTGGCACTGTTTTGTGCTTATAGGTTGTATTGACTGGAAATAAATATTCGGTAACCTGAAGTTTATGTTTATGTTTATGCATTTGGCAGACGCTTTTATCCAAAGCGACTTACAGAGTAGACACAATATTACATTTCTCATCACAATGACAATAAGCTATATAGAGGAGAAACACTGATCAGAGTCAGTGGTGAGATAGAGATAGAGGTAGAGGGACTACAGAAGGAGGTGTGGGGGGGTAGAGGTACGGGTTAGGGTTAGGATAGGAGATGCTCTTTGAAGAGGTGGGTCTTCAAGAGTTTCTTGAAGACAGACAGGGACTCCGCTGTTCTTGTGGAGCTTGGTAGGTCGTTCCACCATCTTGGAACGACACAAGTTGAGTATAGCAATGGCAAAGGATTAGTAAGGCTAAATAAATTTAAATTATAGAGCAAAGCATATGTTATATTGCAAAGAATCAAGAAAGGGTTAATCAAAATTTTCTTTTTACTCACTGTTCAGCATTCAGATGTCTGCACCAGAGAGCACAGGTAAAGGTCACATTAAACATATATAAAGTTGCTCAGTGGAAATAAGGGCCTCTACACAGGGCTCTATCATGGGTAACAACGAAGCAATATCTTGCAAGCAGCAGCTGTAACGACTTTATTTTTAAGGACTGTTATTTTCTGCATACAAATTACTGTATATTACTTGTCACACCTGAAGTGTATCCACAAGCATTAAGGGTTAACTTTCATCACAGTTAGGGTGTCACCAACAAATTTATTTTGTTGTACCTGCAGTCCCTCTGCATTACTGTGTTGATGCTTTTATTTTGATTTGGTTGTTTCTTTTCTTTCTTTCTTCTTTTCTTTCTTTTATTAAAATGAAGAACAAAAAACCGTCCAAAGTGTGCACTGCAAGGCTTACAGGATGTTTTGGGCATGAAAACCTGCACTTTAGAACTTATGAACATAGACTGACACCAGATGGTACCAAATGTTGCAACAAACAATCAAAATAGTAGTAAACAAGGATTAAAGATGATGGCCCTGCGATGGACTGGCGGACTGTCCAGGGTGTGCCCCGCCTCTCGCCCACTGACCACTGGGATAGGCTCCAGTTCTCCCAGCGACCCCATTAGGGAATAAGCGGTAAGAATTATGGATGGATGGATGGATGGATGGATTAAAGTTGATCAGTATATCAAACAAAAAATTCTATATCTTCACCTTTTGATGTAGATTAAGCAGCAAATGAATTTAGGAGGTAAAAAATCCAGTGTGCTCCAGTCTGCTAACAGTATTTGAAATAAATAATTAGTTTGTTATAATTGTCCATTTCAAATTACTGCTATTTAGTGGTTGGAAATCACACTACTACACAATGCATATTAGTTTAACATTTCAAAATAGTTCTCTCATTTAATTCAATGTAAAAGATTTTCTGTCAAGAAACCAAATGAAACTGTTCCCTTTAATAGCGCTATAATGCATTTATTAAATCCTGTAACATTAGCACAGATAGTTTTAGATTTTCACAGGTAACGGAACCTTTGTTTTTCTTGGTGGGATTTTTCCATTCATCAAGATCTTCTTGATGAATGCTGAACCAGCCTCGCATATTTTTCACAGAGTGTAAAATGCAATAGAACATACAAGTGCATGTATGCCTCAACAGTGGTAAGAATGACAACTTATGTCTAATTTAGCACATCATTTCAGCTATCTCTTTCGGCTTATGTTCAGTTCACTATTCTCTTGCAAGAGAAATTTCTACTTCCTCTTTTCTCTTCCAGAAACCGTCAAAAGAAAAGTAGTACAACAGTGGGTCCAGACAGCAGTTCAAGCTAGCAAGACAGCTCAGTGCAGGTCGGAAGTCTTCAAAGAACACAACCATCGACACAGGCAAGAAGAAGAGGATGAACATCACTAAGTTCATGGCAAAAATTAGCATGACGTTCACTTTGTTGTTGACTCTTGCAGACTCGTGCAGATGTCTCTGTACTGTCCATGACACCAGAGCAGTGGACACAACATTAACTGCAAGCATTGTGAAAAGTAATACAAGCTGAAAATAATCAATTGCAGTGTTCAGAATCTCCTTTTTTGGTGTGATAGACTGCGTCTCATTTTTAGGCAAGACAGTCAGCAAGTGAGTCTCTGAATGAAATTCAAAACATGTAGAATTTAGCTTTTTCAAATATCTTATGAAGCCCACACTCTCTGGAATGTTCACCGCCAAAACAATCAGCCAAACAAGTGCAGCACCTTTCCAGGCTTTGGATGATGTTCGAAGGTGCCGGGACCTCAAAGGATAAACCACAGCCAGGAGGCGGTCCATGCTGATGAAGGTGATGAAGATGGAGCTGGATCGGATATTGTTGCGAAAGAGCATTGTGACCCAGATGCATGCCATGTTGCCAAAAAACCATGTGCCTCTGATGTAATAGTAGACCCTCATCGGTAGAGAAAAGATGAGCAACAGGTCTGAGATGGCAAGGTTGACCATAAAGATGGCACTGGGTGAATTGAGCCTGTGGTGAAAAATCAGAATCCATAGTGACACTGCATTAAGAGGCAAACCTAATGCAATGACAAGTCCAAAGATTGGAGCGTACGCGGTGTTCATCATGTATCGCTTTGTTCCATCTGCTCTCAGGCTTATGGCGTCGGAGTGAAATGCAGAAGTGTTTGTAGTAAGAAGTAAATGTGGCTGACACAAACCACAATAACTCCGCCTCCTCACACATTACAAACTTCAACATAAGTGTGAAAAAAGTAAGGGTATTTCTACATGCTGAAGCAGCAGATAGCATCGAAACCGGAAATAACCATGACACAAGTTTTCAAACAGTGCAGTGCTTAGAGGAAACGCAAGTATTTTTCTTTTCTAGTATTATTGCAAACACAAAAATGTATATATACACACTCACACATATCTATATATATCTATATCTCTCAATCTATATATATATATATATATATATATACATCTATACACCATGTCTAAACAATCTTTTTTTAAAGTGACTAAGTGTTCTTTTGTTTTTTCTTCAGAATAAATAAAAATTGCCTACGTCATTTCCCAAATAAAAGACAGGTCTTTAAAAAAAGATTTTCTTGTAGTTAAAGTGCTCATTTGATTTTATCAACGAGCCAGACAGCTCAGTAGGTAGACTGAAACACGACTTCTTCTTATTTGTGCTTGAATAGTTCAAAAAGGTTGGGCTGAGGCATGATAACTGCTACGCAAAATCCCCCCTTTTTTAAACAACAGTCTTGGCATCTGAGAACCCAGAGGACCAATTTTTCTGGACATTAGGCAAAATAATATTGTCTGATGCAGGTTTTAGGTTGTTGGCAGTCTTGTGCCCTGTCAGTATCATTTTGTATTTCTCAATCCAATACATTTTTTCAGTTAGTGAAAGGTGTAACTCCAGGCAGGTCAGTCCAGCACCTCTTCAACTATGAATTCAATACTTTCTTAACAGATGGAATTACCAATATAAAATAGTCATTCTGAAATATTAAATGCCCTCCCAACCAGACAACATTTTGATGGGTATATATAAATGTAAATACCTTAAATAATCCATGGTACCTTCTTAGATGTGTAAGGTTTGAGTACAAAAACGCAAAGGTAGCTCATATCATCAGAATTGTAGGCATTTGAATGGAGATCTCTCTTTCATCTGGAGAATGAAGCAGCCCTGATTTCCAAAAAAGTATTCACATTTTTTATTAATCTGATCACAAAGCAGTTGTCCCTTCTGCTGACTGACTGAAGTGAGCTCTAAATTGTGTTCACATGTGGGTCCTTCTGTATTTGACAGAAGTGTGAATGTTTGCCTAGCTATTTATTCATTTATCTGCTCAAATATCAAATTATTAGAATTTTAGCTACTTAGCTATTTATATTCAGTCACTGGGAATAAATTAGTTAATTTTTTATTCTATTCTATTCTATGCTATTCTGTTTAGACTATTTTGGAAAATTAAAGCGACAAAGCCCAAACACCAGAAAATTAAATAGTTGAACTTGAGCAGAAGCTTAAGTTATTAGCTAATCAACAATTTACGCAAACACAAGGTAATCGACATTGGTATGCAGTGACTGGTGATGGAAGATTTTATTTCCACTGGCTTTTTGAAGGCTTGGTTGCAGCTGTGTCAGTTCAAACGTAAAGATAAAACTGGTAGATAAAACTCCACAGAGTGGAGAGCAGTCTAGGTCTGATATCCTGCTACTTTATTTTGTATATATACTTATCTTGCTATTTCTCTTTTTATTCAGCTTATTCGTATTATATATATTATATTCTTATTATAAGGTCACAAGGTGGCTGGAGCCTATCTCTTTTCATTCAGTTTGATATATTTCGTTATTGACTCTGCAACCTTTTGGAATTGCGTTTGTCAGTTTAATCACAGAGCACTTTATAAAAATGCAGAGGGGGGCAGGAACGAAGTGCATTTATTTGAGTTCGGTACCTAAGTTCAGTAGCATTTTTTCAGGAAAGCTATCAATTTCACTACCTTATATTTTAACGATACAAATCCTACTCTTTACTCCACCACATTTCTCTGAATGCTTTTGCTATTTGTTACTTCTGTTGGTTATGTTTGTTAAATTTGTGTCAATGCTGTCCCACTGACACACTGTATAATAACACATTAGTCTCCTGTAGAGAAGGTGGTGATGCGCAGCTTTTAACTACAATTGTTGCATTGGAAAATAATAAAATTATTTTTGTCCACTTGGTGCGCTCAAACAGGTGATGATGCTTCCACACCAAATGTAACTAAGGGGTGAATGAATAATGCATTACATTTTAAAGTGTCTCTGATTGTCTGGAAAAGGGCTTTATAAGGCTATATAAAGCTCATGAAGACGTACATCCTTGGTGAAACGGAAAGAACTCAGTAAGTCTTGATATATACAGGAAATAGGCACTACAGCTGCTGCGTGAGACGTACAAGCTGATACGCACCACACTGCGCAGCAAAAACATTGTAAATGTCACTGGTAAAAATTCACTCTCCTCGATATGTTTGGAACAGGCTCATCTGTGAGTCCCTCCTGGTACTTTTTCAGACTGTAAACACTGGCTAGGGAATCTTTAATGCAACATTTATGTACACAGTATTCATTCGAAAAGTACCCTTATTATAACCTTCTAAAGCTGCATTGAGATAGTGTCGACCAAAAGAAAAGTTGGTCGGCACAGCAGTGGTAAGGGCAAGGGCCATCACCAGGAACAGCATGAGTGGACTGGAGGACAGCAGAACCAGAACCAGACCCAACCGAAGCCACAGTAACTCCAATCAGACCCATGCGCACGCACACACACACACACACACACACACACACACACACACGCACACACACACACACTCACAACTCTTGCCACGGAGACTTAAATAGAAGGTTTGGATACTCTCAAGAGTATGAGGATGGCAAGATCATGAAAGAGTGCCATCTAAATAGTTTTTTTTGCCAGCAAAGATGACATTTTCTCCAGGCTTTGATATTTAAGAACCTTAATTTTCTCTCAAGACAGATATGCTTTGTGATTAGCGCTGCTGCAGAAAATATTTAGCCCTTAACTCATTTAAAACTGAATACATACCTGTTAAAAACGAGAAAAAAAAAGCCAGGAATATTTTTTCATTAAAGGAAAATATTTATTTTCATTTATCTCTATTTGGTCTGTGTATAATGCCCTATTTCTTTCTGTGTTTTTCATGTGTATTGAGTTATCTGTGAATTATTATTTCACAAAAGAAAAATTATTGCAGTGATGGAAAAATAAGGCAAAATATGTTTTGGGATATAAGACATCCTGATATCAGCTGATAAAAAAAAAAAACTTCAAATTTTAATACTCATGTGTCCCTTTTTGCACAGGAAATTTCAGGCCTTATGGGAGTCGCTGCAGTTCAACCACCAGCAGGTGCATTTATTAGCAGTATTGAACGCAAACCTCAGAGAGTCCGTGAAATCCCTCACCGAGGGAAGGAGCCACCTCACTCAAGAAAACTAAATAATATGTACTACATACCGTAAATTCCGGACTATAAGCCGCTACTTTTTTCCCGCAGTTTGAACACTGCGGCCTATAATACAGTGCGGCTAATACATGTTTTTTTTCATGGCGCGAAAAACAGACCAATAAAATTGATGAGTATTCACAGAGGTCCAAGGAAATTGTGCGATACATAATTCTCACTTTCACAGTTATTTACAGTCTTGTAAATCAGTCGATTGTACTCACCCTCAACATGGATACCTTTATTTTGACAACCCGCTAGACAGGAAGTTTACGGTATCCTAGTTACGGGAGTCAGCTTGAGTTTGCCGGTAGCAAAGACGGCTGCCTTCGTCTTCTACTCCTAATTTGTGACAGTTTGTTTCAGTGTTTGTTCAAGCAACGTCTGTAAGTATTTATTTTTGCAATTGGACATATTTCTAGTAACTTTTACGGTAATTCATATGTTGATGTTAACAATGTTAACAAACACGTGACGGAGTTTAGCTAATCGTAATTCATGTCTATACATGTACAATTCTTGACGTATGTTTTGTATGTTTGTATTTCAGTTTCACAAGATATTCAGTAAATTCACAAAAAAGAATCTGCTTCTGTGGAGTTGCTGAGTACATGTTTAGCTGCTTGGATAACTGACTCTTAGTGAGGCCATGACACATAATATGTACCGTATTTGTTTGTTTTATCATACGGATTAAATCAAACGTTAAAAAATGCTCACCTCTAACATCTTTATTTGTAAATATCTCATACAACGTGGGAAACCTGCGGCTTAAAATCCGGTGCGGCTTGTAAAAGTACAAAATTGATTTTCTTTCTAAAATTAGAGCGTGCGGCTTGTAATCCGGTGCGCTTTGTAGTCCGGAATTTACGGTAATTGATCTTCAGGCTTGCAGTATGAGAGACAACCTGGTGTTCACTGAAATCCCAGATTAGGCTAAGGAAAAGCCTGACCCAAGTTAAAAGAAAAATGCCCAGAACTACCAGAGGATACTATGAAGAGCGTTTCACAGAATTAACCTATTAGGAGTGTGGAGACTTGTGGCCTCAGACCAAGACCCATTGTGGCTAAATTAACAGAATCTGACTCTGAATCCTTCAACCTGCAGCGCTTCTTGGACAACTCTGCAATTGTATGCAGTGTCAGTGCGGGGAGAGAGGAGGACATCAGGGGTGCTCTGGATTCCTTTTTCAGAGATGTGAGACTAACCATCTGCATCTTAATACCACAAAGGCAAAGGAACTGGTGGTGGATTTCCGCAGGAGGAAATCACCCCCCAAACCCATTTCCATCAACAGTGTAACAGTATAACTGTGGAGGTGGTCTGGGATTACAAATACCTTGGAGTATATCTAGACAACAAACTGGACGTGGCAAAGACAACTGGGGCTGTTCATGAAAAGGGTTGTATTGTGTGACGCCTACATAGAGGTACAGAATGCTCTGTTCGAAAGCATCAACATCTGAGATGAACACATTGTTA